AACCTGGGGGCCCAGAGGGGTGGTCAGTGTGGACGCTGCTGAGAAGCAGGTGAGGTGGGACAGAGAAGGGTCCATTGGATTAAACTGGGCAACAGAAGGTCCTTGGTGGCCTGGACAGGAGCAGGGGTCTCACCCGAGGGTCCAGCTCCACGCTCTCCCCAGGCTGCAGGTCCGTCACATCAGCATCTGCTGGGGCAGAATGGGGAGGGGGGTGTCTCCTGGCAGGTCCCCCGAGATCTCAGGGCCGCAGACCCACCTGCTCCCAGATGGGCCACTAACCCAGGGTGAGGTACAGAGCCAGGTCACACAGTGTGGGTCTCAGTCCTTCTCACCCTGACCCACACCCTCCCAGCCCCTCTCCTCCCCAGTCATCCCCTGAAATCCCTGTGCCCCATCCCCCAGGGAAGCTGTCTCTTCCTCTCACAGAGGTGCTCCTCCTGGGCGTCCACAGCTGGGCTGGAGCTGAGGGAGGAGACAGGAGTGTTAGGGGCAGAGCTGGGCCATGGGTGGTCTGAGTCTGGGGTCTTCAGGACAGGAATTACCTGCTCTGAAGGCCTCTGTCCTTGGGCTCTGGGTCTGTGGTCCCTGCAGGAGGTTGGACATGAGCCCCTCTCTGGGCTGGTTAAGAGAGACAGTCTCAGCCCTGGGAGGTTAGAACCCTCCCCGCTGTGATTCCACAGGAAAGACGGAAAACGTAACACACACTTATGCGTAACTTCCATATTTCATGTCATTGACAATAATGAAAGATTACCTTAAATACATACACATGTGCTGACATTGAGAGCTACATTTTCTGATATGAGATTCTGGAGAAATCCTTTTCTCAGCTGACCTTCTCCATCCATTTGGTTTTCCTGTGGCAGGTGCTCTGAGCCCCCCTCCCTCCTATGACCCAGGTCACCCCGTTCCCTACTCACCTGACATCCTGCCTTTGCTCTGACATCGGTGTCGGAGGACGAATAAGAGGAGGAGGGAGAGAAGCAGGACCAGGGCCACCGGGACCCCGATCAGGATGATCATGTACCATTTGAGACCTTGGACAAGGGTGATGTCATGAATGAGCCAATGATGCCATTTCGTGAGTACCTACTATGTGCCAGGGTCTGTCCCTCATCTCCTCTCACCTCACAGCAGTCATAAACCAGGCATTGCTGACCCCACCACCTACTTCACTGAGGCTCAGAGAGGTTAATCATGTGCGCCAGGTCACCCAGCCTTGAAGTGGCGGGGCTGGGACTGGAACACAGGAATGCGGGTTCCTTGTGGTCTCCTCACACTGCCCCCCAGGAGGACACCAGCTTCATACTCTGGGCTCCTCCTCTGAAGAGGCCTAGCCATGTCTCATCTGGAGCTGAGGGTCCTTCCTCATTACCTGCCCCCAGCACAGCAGGGACAGGAGGGGCAGGGTGTGGAGTGGACTCTGAGTCTCTCCCTCATCCAACTCCACCCTGCAGGCCCTGACGCCCCTTGGGAAGGGCTGGCTGGGTTGGGGGCTCTGCCTTCCTGAGCTCTGTGAGGCCCTATGTCACCTCATCTCCCAGCAGCCTGTGAGCAGGATGGGACCAGGGATGAGCAGACAGGAACCCGACATTCAGAGGAGAGAAGGGACCGCCCAGCCCCACAGCAGGAGCAGCAGAGTCAGGAGCTGGACCAGGGCTGATCCACCCTGTTCCCTCCTCTGAGCTGAGCCTGAGCTGAGGGGTAGGACTGGGTGCCCGGACCCTTGTCCTGCCTGTCCCTCCCTATACAGTGTCACCGTCACTGAGACAGAGGGGACAGGCCCGATAACATCACGTCCTGGGGGCTTCCCTCTGAGGTCCCTCTTCCAGGAGGTCAGAGCCAGAACTGACAGGAAATCTAAGCTCTGGACAAGGATTCTCTCCTTTTACACCTGGAGACACTGAGGCCCAGGCAGGGAAAGGGTGGGTTCAAGTCAGCATCTCCAGCGGCACCTGAACCCCCACATGGCTCTGCTGCTGTTCCCATGGAGGCACCCACCACCTCCCACAGAGACCCTCACTTACCCTTCTGGGGTCCTGACTCCATGGGGGGGAGCTGCGGATTCTCAGAGCCTCCTAGATATCAAAATGTGGGGTGATGGGTGGGGCCTGCCTTCTCCCCACTTGAACCTGGCTGCTCCTACCCAGCCTGGGCTTCAATATCTCCTGCTACCATGACCTTCCCGCCTGTCACCTGGCA